TAAAATTTTGAGGCAATTACCCCCAAAATCAATCCCAGCCTTCCCTTTGTGGTATGATACCTTGCAGTAAAATTTGAGAGAGATCCATACACTTGAACACAAGTTATTGTCTGGAAACTAGAAAAATGCTTATTTTGGCCCCTTTTTGGCCCCTTATTCCTAAACGTTTTGGGCAATTACCCCCAAACTCAATTCCAGCTTTCCCTTTGTGATATGGAACGTTGTAGTACAATTTCAGAAAGATTCATATACTTACACACAAGTTATTGTCATGAAACTAGAAAAATGCTTGTTTTTTGCCCCTTTTTTGGCCCCTTATTCCTCAAATTTTGAGGCAATTACCAAAATCAATCCCAGCATTCCCTTTGTGATATGGAACCTTGTGGTACAATGTCAGAGAGATCCATACACTAACACACAAGTTATGGTCTTGAAGTTACAAAAATGTTTATTTTTGGCCCCTTTTTGGCCCCTAGTTCCTTAACTGTTGGTACCATAACCCCCAAAATCAATCCCAACCTTCCTTTTGTGGTATTGAACCTTATGGTAAAATTTCATAGAGATCTAATCACTTAAACTAAAGTTATTGTGCAAAAACCAATGTGTCTTGGACAACGACGAATATGCCAACGTCATACCAATATAGGACCGCAAAATTTTTTTGCGGTTGTATAAAATTATAACAATAAAGATTAAAACAAAGCAGCTGATTTTCCACAAATGTATGTTTTTATTTTGAATGTTTATGTCTCCAAACAGTGACTAATGGGATGCATATATAATGACTCTATTGATCAATGTTCCTGTCCTTATAATTAGCTTATGGTCTGTATATGTTACAGAATAGAGAAAATGTGCAATTAAATGAAGAAAAGAGAATAATGGGTGTTTAGATAGAATAGTCAAAAAATTTGTATAAAAAATAAAGAATACAGAACATGATGACCCAAGCACCGTACCCATCCTGCTACCAAGACCCTCTTAACTTTTCCCATAACTCAAAAGACCTAAACCTATAAATTCTAAAGTCAGAAGTATGTAGACATATCTTTAGTAGGTATCTCAATACTAGGAAAAAATCAAATTGAGTTATCTTTCTTTATTCAGGTGTGCTCCTTCTTCGGAGGATTATACACAGTACTCAGTAGAAGTAAATACAATCAACAATGGCATCCAGTTTTGTTATTTTCGTATCAAAATTGAGAGCAGGCAAAGACAAATCACGTCTGAATTTACCATTTTTTATGGAATACAAGTAAAATGATGTGTTTTAACAAGTTATTGTGGTTTTCATCTTTCTGTCAATTACGTTTTCTTAAGGAAACTATGGTAAACGTTGCAAATTGTGTTGCCGTATGAAAATTTCTTCAAATGAAATGACAAATGCTGACTGACCAATTCTATTTGAATGAATTAATGTTGATGATCATTAATGACCCATCTGATAAACGGATTACCTGTAACAACTAATTATAACACCTGTTGTAACCATTGCTTAGCTTGGGGTCATAAACAAAGCCATAAACTTGTCGCCAGGTAAAATTTCTTAAAATTAATTTTTTTTTTCTTTTACCAATGTAAATGAAGATCGGTAATATTATCGTTACAGTCAAGAAATGAAACATTTTGACATAGGGAAATGTTGACGCCAGAAAAATCGACAGCAGCCATATTTTGTCGCCGGATAAAAAAAAAAATTGCAATTTGCGACATTAGAGAAGCCCAGCGCAGTCCCTGTTATTGTCTGGAAACCAAATGTGTCTTCGGACGATGACGCAGAGGCCAACATCATTACATTATACGAACGCAAAATAAATTGCTTCGCCGAGCGCAGCTGGATACAACCACAGAGATCCAACCCTGAATAGTTGGGGCAAAAATGGTCGCAATATTCGCGCTTGATACAGGTCTGAATTTTGATTGTAATTAAATATTTGAAACATAAAACGTATCTGACACAGAATAACTGTAGTCAAAGAACATAGAATCGGTTACATGATTTGAATTTATATTCAATTTTTTGCTTTTGTGCAATACACTTTGCTGTTGCGAATTGCCCCCCCCCCCCCCCCCCCAATAAAAAAATTAAAAATTTATCCCCCCCTTTTTTTTTGCTTTTGTGCAATACACTATGCTGTTGTGTATTAACCAGCCCCCCCCCCCCCCCCCCCCTCAAAAAAAAAAAAATTCTTTCCCTCCATATATGGTCATAATCTCAATTCAAATTTCCAATGGAGTTTGCAACCATAATTACCCATTTAAATTTACCATAGCGCTAACTTAATCTATTTTATAATAGAATTTAAAATATGGTGTCAAATCTTTCATATGTTGGATTTTTTTGTAAAAAAAAAAAAAAAGATGCAACATTTGAAGATATTTTTACTGGTCTTCCTTTATAAAAACGTTGTATTTGGATTACCTCCCTTAAACTGCTTTTAAATTGTCTTAATTGTTCATTAACCATTACTTTATACATAATTTGAAAGCAGTGCAAGGGAGGTAATTCAAATGGGATAATATATTGTAAGATTGGGCAAACCAAAGAGCATTTGGAACACAATTTGGACCAACTTTGAAAACATGCCCAAAATCTAAAATCTAAAACACTGTTTGATTGGGCATATATAATAATTCAATTTTAACCAACTTGAATACTGTGCCCAAAATCAAAAATCCTAATACACGCTTAAATTCAGCAAATCAAAGAACCCCTAGAATTCATTTCTATTTTGAAATTAAAACTAAAGTTTACTTTGGGACCCTTTGGACCTTAATATGGACCAATTTGAAGACGGCTGGCCCAAAAATTAAAAATCTAAATGCACGGTTAGTCTGCATATTAAAGAACAGCAATAATACAAATTTGGATGAAATCAAACAAAGTTTAATTTTGGACCCTTTTGACCTCAATGTAGACCAATTTAAAAATGGGGCTCAATATCCAAAATAGTAATACAAGGTTAGAACCAAAAAATTAAAGACTTTAAAATTAATCCCATTGAAATTGGTAAAAAGATTTGTCTTTATTTTCAATTGAAGATTTCCTGCTATTCTGCAATACTGTGCAATTGAAGATTTCTTGCTATTGCGCAATACTGTGTGCGCAATACTGTGATTTTGCCCAAATACTGTGCAATTGAAGATTTCTTGCTATTGCACAATACTGTGATATTGCTCAATACTGTGCTATTGCACAATACTGTGCTGTTGCGCAATACTGTGATATTGCCCAATACTGTGCTATTTTGCAATATTGTGCAATTGAAGATTTCTTCTTGAAGCTTTTCAAAAAATTTGAAATTTCAATAATTTTGAAGAAAAAAATATGAACCCCCAAAAAAATTGAAAAAAAAATCCCCCCAAACTAACTCCTTCCCAGCCTTTCCTTTGTCGTATGGAACCTTGTAGTACAATTTTAGAGAGATCCATACACTAAAACACAAGTTATTGTCCGGAAACTACAAAAATGCTTGTTTTTGGCCCCTTTTTGGGCCCTAATTCTGAAACTGTTGGTACCATAACCCCCAAAATCATTCCCAACCTTCCTTTTGTGGTATTGAACCTTCTGGTAAAAATCATAGAGAGACATTCACTTAAACTAAAGTAATTGTCGGAAACCAAATGTGTCTTCAGACGATGACGCCGCCGACACCGCCGACATCATAGCATTATATAAACGCAAAAATTCTTTGCGGTCGTATAAAAAATGCTGAAAACTGATTACTTTCCTGAATTGTCTAAGTCAAAGGACCATAACTCTGCACAAAATTTCAGACCGGAACAAAATCAGAAATTGTTCTATAATTTGTCATGGTAAACCTAAAACTGTATACCAAATATCAAATCAACATCTGTAAGCATAACAACAAATAGTGTGGAAAACTGATTACTTGCGTGAATTTAAGAAGTCAAAGGACCTGCCATGTGAGGGACTCAAAACTCATAACCTGAGTGTAAAAAGGCTAGTGATATAGTAGTTAGCTACGTAAATGAATATTTGCTAAAATAGGACAAAGTTAATTGTAGGCCAAGCTAAAAATAGTTATACAATACAGTTATCTCCATTTCTATGCATTCTATACAAAATAAAAAAATGAGTATTTGACACAGCATAGGTTTATGACACAAAATGAATGTGGTCAAAGAAATGAAAAATTTGAAATTGGACATTTACCTATTATGGTCCAATATCCCAAATCTAAGTACATTGTTAGAATCAGCATATTAAAGAACCCCAAGAATTCAATTTTTGATGAGATAATTATTAATTAAATCATTCCTGTTCAAAGGGAAATAACTCAAAATAAACAAGAGACCAAATGACATAGAAATTGATTATTAATTATACCATTTCTGTTCAAAGGGAAATAACTCAAATTCATATAGTAAAAATCACTTTTGTTTCTGAAAGGTCTACAACTCAACAACGAAAAAAGCTAAAATCGTGAAAATTGAACTTGACCTTCATTTAGTCACAGGAAACAACATATCTTAATTTGAAAAGATTTCCTCAAAGCGTTTTCATGTTAATGAACAGACACTGTTTGGCAGCCGCCCGCCGCCGTACATCTCCAAATCAAAAACCAAAAACAATTAATGATCAAAAATTAAGAAAACTTGCTCTCGTCTTGTTCACTCTGGAATATGAAATAAAAGACATCTGCTAATTTTGTTGAATATTGAAGAAATCACATAATATTAAATTCCTCAATTGAAAAATGACAACTAAGCTTAATTAAAAGCTTGTTAAGTGTGGATTTAGCGCCTCAAATATATGATGTTGTCCAATCAAAATGGTGATAACAAATAATTGCATTAGAAATTTAAATTGATTGTTCCAAACTAATGTTTTAAGATTTCTCTCCTGAAGTATTTTAGTTTTGCGGCATTTGATTTCTGAGTTTTATATTTCTTTATATTTTGTAACTTATTTTCTACTTGATTCATTCTAAGTGTAAGCATTTGTAATTCAACACCATATCTATCACTATATGTACCTGTAAGTATTCCATCACTTCTTTATACTGGAGAGATTTAAATTTTGCTGCTAGATCGTATGGCGTCAGACCCTGAAATACAGACAAATCTTTATATTGCTTTCACCTGTTACAAAGAAGGCTTCTGTAACACATAATATCTTACAATTAGTAAGACCAGTAGCAGCTGAGTGGAGATTTATTTTATCTTAACAGATGCTAACCATATATACCGGTATATAACTAATGAGACGACATTTCGATTATTTTTCACAATTTTGTGAAGACTTTAAATAGGCTTTTAACTCTTTTTTTTAAAGAATCAGAATAAAAGTTCCATCTGTCACCATTTGGTCCTGTAATTTTCTTAGCAGTCTGAAGATTGGTAAATGCATCCTTATGTCTACATGAGGTGTGGAGGACTTTGGGGGTTTTCATTTTTAACTATCTTTTCTAATTTTGTGGGCACATTATTCACAGTTCTTTATATTTTTAACACCCCAATATTTTTCTCTATTTTTTATATTTTTGTACCCAATTCTTTTCTATTCATTAATTCTACCCATCCAAACCCTCCTATATCTGTATACTCCATTCAAACCCTCCTATATCTGTATTACACATCCACACCCTCCTATATCTGTATAACCAATTTAAACCCTCCTATATCTGTATACCCCATCCAAACCCTCCTATATCTGTATACCCCATTTAAATCCTCCTATATCTGTATTTCCCATCCAAACCCTCCTATATCTGTTTTACCAATCCAAACCCTCCTATATCTGTATACCCAATCAACACCCTCTTATACCTGTATTACCCATCCAAACCCTCCTATATTTTTTCCAGCTGAATTTAAGTATTTAAGGGGACATTTTTTTATATTTTAAAACAAACAATTTCCAAACCATGAAAAGTAATGGTAAAGTATTAACTGAAAATAATTTTAAACTATTATTTTCAATGCACTTCTGGCTATGATAGATTAATGTTTAACACTTTAACAATTTCCTTGATTATATTCAATTCACAAGTCACAAGGAGCTCAGTATGCATCTATCATGTCCATCTGTAGAGTTTTATACATTATTTCTAGAGATGATGATGGGGGTTATTAAAGACCTTGACTGGCTATACAGCCCTCCCACGGTGGTTGATATTAGAGTATAATAAAAAAAAAAGTTAAACATTTAAAGGAAGTCGAGATGAAAAAAACTAGATATCATTGAGATGGGAGGCATCTCTGTGGGCCCCGCTGTGAATAATGTGTGGTAAAAAATTTGTATCTTTATCATTGGACAAGGGGTTGTCAACTCAAACCGAAGTTTATGACCTTGACCTTTGACCTAGGAAGTTGTATATAAATTATGACGCACCCTCTGGTGTTGGTTTATATACATGTCAAGTATAAACTTTGAAATCATAACGGTTCTCAAGATATAGAGCGGACACGATCTTTACTATAGGACATGGGGTTGTCAACTAAAACCAAAGTTTTTGACCATGACCTTTGACCTAGGAAGTTGTACATACATTATGACACACCCTCTGGTGTTGGTTAATATACATGTCAAGTATAAACTTTGAAATCATAACGGTTCTCAAGATATAGAGCGGACACGATCGTTACCATAGGACATGGGATTGTCAACTAAAACAAAAGTTTTGACCTTGACCTTTGACCTAGGAAGTTGTACATACATTATGACACACCCTCTGGTGTTGGTTTATATACATGTCAAGTATAAACTTTGAAATCATAACAGTTCTCTAGATATAGAGCAGACACAATTTGTTACAGACGGAAGGACGGACAGATGGACGGACAGATTGATCACTATAGGGCGTCCGCCATTCGGCGGGGCCCTAATAATTTTCAACTATTTATTTTCTATACAGGATACGGGTCAGTTAACAGATATGTAAGTTGACTTCCTTCACCTGCCTTGGGTACACAAAAGGCCAACCTAAAGCCGGGAAAATGTAATACTACTTTTTTCCCTATACTGTGACATAAAGATATAAATAATTCTTATGACATTATCAATGCAATACTGAGTTATTGTGAAAACCTTGGCTATAATAAATACTTGTATGTCCCCATTACTTAAAGAAACATGGATCATTTTATGTCCCCACCCCTACATGCTGGTTTACCTCTTTCTGTACTTCTTTCAGATAAGGCTTAATAAACTACCTGTATCCAATCATATCTTATCTTATTTAAAAAGAATAGTATACAGTGCCATTTTAACAGATAAAAATGACAGTATCATTCAATTTGTATTCATTTTATCCTTAATTTACAACATAAGCACAAATTCAAGATTTTTCATACTTATCTCCATTCCATGCTTTAGTATATGTCATATTGTGGTTCAAAATTTCCGAGCTTGTTATAAAATTCATTATTCTGTCTTGAGATGATAAAAAACAAAGATGTTAGACACTTAAAACATTAAATATGCAAAAAAACTCATCTGTAAAGTTGCCTTTGTTGCCTGTATTAATCTATGAAAAAGCTGAATTATGTCCCTTGGGAGTATTCATTTCCAACAATAGTTCTTTCAAACAGTAGAAAATGAAAAATTATATATGCTTGATATAATAAAAGATAGAAACTACAAAATGAAGCACTATTGAAATATTTGCTACATGAACGGCCAAGAATGTGAACAATTCTTTGCACAGGAGATTATAAATTCTATCTAAATTTAGCCTCAATTGGGCCTCTTTTTTTCCTAGATGGACAATTTTAACACTGAAAATGCTTCTATTTTGACCAAATATTGCCTTACTCCATAAACAGAACAAACTTAACCAGACAATTTCCAATTTTAATAGATTATGTCTTGAGAAATACCAAAGTGATACATTTAGAGAATTACACAGCCAAAGGCAAATATTTCAGTAAAAAATATTTGCCGCATGAATTCGGGTGTTTCCAATTGAATTAATCATTGCGAAAGGTGAAAACAAATACAAAAGAATTAGAGTTTGGTGTATTTTATACAAAATAGTTAATTTTGAAATCCTAGAATAAAAGTTTCATATCAGTACCCATCAATTTGACTTCTTGTGATGACTCAGCACTTTTCTCAACACAGTATTGGTCTCAGTGAAAAATTTCTATTCATGGTGATAAAAATCAAATGTACTAATCAAAAGCTTTAAAATAGTACAATATAACTGAACTCTGATTGATTTTGTTTTCCCTTGCTCTCTTCAGTATAGGGAAAACGGTAGTATTTATTCTGCCATAGGCGACAATACTAACATTTTCTAAATTTACCACTTTTTATAATAAAAACCTGGACAAAACAGTTATGTGTGGTATTAGTACTTTATTATTCTGTTTTAAAAATTGAAGTCAAATAGTACCATGACCAACATCCAACGGAGCTTGTTTATGTTATCCATGCCCACCGTCATTTTACACCAAATTTATGAAATTTTGGAAGTCTTTTCGAACAATTCTCTAGAATATATTTCAATGGGTTTCAAAATTTATATTGTAAATATACACACTGCAGTTATTCATAGATAAATAAAATAAAGTTAGAGAACGGAAACTAAAAATTCAGCAATTTTTATGTTTATAAAGGGACATAACTCAAGAATGGTAAAAGTGTTCTCACCAAATTTTGTACTTAATCTGTATTATGTAGTAATAAGCATTGTGTATGTTTCATAACATTTGGTTGAATCAAACTAAAGTTCGAAAACGGAAACAAAAAATTTGTACTTGATCTTAGTTTTGTGGTAATGAATATTGTGTATAGGTTTCATAATGTTTGGTTGGGGCAAACTTAAGTTACAGAATGGAAACTAAAAATTTTGCAATCTTTCGATTTACAAAGGGCATAACTCAATAATGGTTAAAGTGACACTACCCAAATTCAACTTGATCTGTGTTTTATCAGTGGAAGTAAAAATTAAACATTGCTTTGTATAAAGCATTGATTGTAGTTGATTCAACTATAATCATGGACAAAGGAAGATAACTCCAATTTCAAAAATTAATTGATATTTAGAAAAAAATAAAAATTTTGCAATTTTTCCATTTATAAAGGGGTATAACTCTAGAACAGTAAAAGTGACGCCACCAACATTCAAACTTGATCTGTGTTTTACTAAAAATTTTGCATTTTTTCCATTTATAAAGGGCATAACTGGAGAATGGTTAAAGTGACCCCACCAAAATTCAAACTTGATCTTTATTTTGTGGTAATAAGCATTGTTATAAGTTTCATAACATTTGGTTGAGGCAAACTTAAGTTAGAGAACAGAAACTAAAAATTTTGCATTTCCATTTATAAAGGGGCATAACTCTAGAACGGTTAAAGTGACGCCACCAAAATTCAAACTTGATCTCAGTTTTGTGGTAATTAGCATTGTGTATGAGTTTCATAAAATTTGGTTGAGGCAAACTTAAGTTAGAGAACGGAAACTAAAAATTTTGCAAATTTTTCCATTTATAAAGTGGCATAACTCTAGAATGGTTAAAGTGACGACACTAAAATTCAAACTTAATCTGTGTTTTGAGATAATAAGCATTGTGTATAAGTTTCATAACATTTGGTTGAAGCAAACTCAAGTAAGAGAACGGAAACTAAAATTTTTGTAATTTTTCCATTTATATAAAGGGGCATAACTCTAGAACGGTTAGAGTGACGCTACCAAAATTCAAACTTGATCTGAATTTATTGGTAATAAGCATTGTTATAAGTTTCATAACATTTGGTTGAGGCAAACTTAAGTTAGAGAACAGAAACTAAAAATTTTGCATTTCCATTTATAAAGGGGCATAACTCTAGAACGGTTAAAGTGACGCCACCAAAATTCAAACTTGATCTCAGTTTTGTGGTAATTAGCATTGTGTATGAGTTTCATAAAATTTGGTTGAGGCAAACTTAAGTTAGAGAACGGAAACTAAAAATTTTGCAAATTTTTCCATTTATAAAGTGGCATAACTCTAGAATGGTTAAAGTGACGACACTAAAATTCAAACTTAATCTGTGTTTTGAGATAATAAGCATTGTGTATAAGTTTCATAACATTTGGTTGAAGCAAACTCAAGTAAGAGAACGGAAACTAAAATTTTTGTAATTTTTCCATTTATATAAAGGGGCATAACTCTAGAACGGTTAGAGTGACGCTACCAAAATTCAAACTTGATCTGAATTTATTGGTAATAAGCATTGTTATAAGTTTCATAACATTTGGTTGAGGCAAACTTAAGTTAGAGAACAGAAACTAAAAATTTTGCATTTCCATTTATAAAGGGGCATAACTCTAGAACGGTTAAAGTGACGCCACCAAAATTCAAACTTGATCTCAGTTTTGTGGTAATTAGCATTGTGTATGAGTTTCATAACATTTGGTTAAGGCAAACTCAAGTTAGAGATCAGAAACCAATTTTGGGACGTACGGACGGACATGTATGTACGTACAGACGGACAAGGGTAAAACTTAATGCCCCCTCCGCTACGGTGGGGGCATAAAAATATATATTGTACTCTTACATCTAATCACAGCGCTTCTAAGTTGACTTCCTTCAACTGCCTTGGGTACACAAAAGGCCAACCTAAAGCCGGGAAAATGTAATACTACTTTTTTCTCTATATCTGTATACCCAATCCCCATCCTCCTATATCTGTATACCCCATCTATACCCTACCCAATCCACACCCTTCTTTATCTGTATACCCCATCCACACACTCCTATATCTGTATTACCCATCCACTCTTTCCTATATCAGTATTCCCCATCCACACCCTCCTATATCAGTATATCCAATCCACACCCTCCTGTATCTGTATTACCCCTCCACACCCTTCTTAACCTCTATACCCCGTCCACACCCTCCTATATGTGTATACCCGATCCACATCTTCCTATAGGTGTATACCCTATCCATCCCCTCCTATATCTGTATTACCCCTCCACACCCTTCTCAACCTCTATACCCCATCCACACCCTCCTATATGTGTATACCCCATCCAAACCTTCCTATTCCTGTATATTCCATTCACACTCTCCTATATGTGTATACCCCATCCACACCCTCCTATATGTCTATACCCCATCCACACCCTTCTATATGTGTATACCCCATCCACCCCTCCTATATCTGTATTACCCCTCCACACCCTCCTAAATCTCCATACCCCATCCACACCCTCCTATATGTGTATACCCTATCCACACCATCCTATATGTGTATACCCCATCCTCACCCTCCTGTATGTGTATACCCCATATACACCCTCCTATATCTGCATACCCTATACACACCCTCCTATGTCTGTATCCACACCCTCCATAAAACTTTTTCATATCTTAAGTTAAATTTAAAGGATCAGATGACTTTTGACTATTGCCTTGAAAAAGAATCAATTTGACCAACCATATCTTATACATCATTTTAGTGATTCATTAAAATAGTTGAACACTGGTCAAATACTATAAAATATTACCTTATGTGATTTAACCAAGGGACTGGCACCTCCTTCTACCAGACATCTTGTGATCTGTAGATATCCATACACAGCAGCCCAATGTAAAGCTGTGTATCCATCCATCTATAATATAACCAAATAACATGTCAATATTATGGACAATACTTTGTTATCAATATCAAAAATATACAACATATCCTACAACTGACATAAAAACTTGTCTGATAAACTGGACAATGTTGTGTAATAAATATAAACAAAATATATATCACATGAATCAGTGGTCAAAACTGAATAAAATGACCAGTCACACTTGTATTTATATTCTATATAAACAATAAATAAACATGTTTTGTTGTGAAATGTCAAAACTTCCATTAAACCTGATATCTTAAAAAAAAAATTTTTTTCAAGAAATGTGTAAAATAATTATATCAATGGATTCAGTAGAACAAAACAAGCAAAATGAGACCCCACTTTATATGATTCTTACACATATTTATTCATTAAAACTGTCTAATTAACAACAGGATTTAGTGTAGATTCAGTGTAATCATTCATTTTAATAAAATAATTTTTTTAAAGAAACATGAAAAGGAGTAATATTTTCTGATTCAGAACAATAGTACGAGTAAAATGAGACCCCACTTGATATAATTATTACAAATATTTGTTCATTAAAACTGTCTGATTAACAACATGATTTTGTGTTGATTAATAGTAATGTGATCAGACTAAGTAGATAACATACTGATGTTGTGGTGTCGATCTTACATCCTGTATCAATGAGAAGTCTACAGACCTCCAGGTGTCCTCCCCCGGCAGCCAACATTAATGCTGTCCATCCACCACCCTGGAATAATACAACTGACATCAAAACTTGTCTGATAAACTGGACAATGTTGTGTAATAAATATAAACAAAATATATATCACATGAATCAGTGGTCAAAACTGAATAAAATGACCAGTCACACTTGTATTTATATTCTATATAAACAATAAATAAACATGTTTTGTTGTGAAATGTCAAAACTTCCATTAAACCTGATATCTTAAAAAAAAAATTTTTTCAAGAAATGTGTAAAATAATTATATCAATGGATTCAGTAGAACAAAACAAGCAAAATGAGACCCCACTTTATATGATTCTTACACATATTTATTCATTAAAACTGTCTAATTAACAACAGGATTTAGTGTAGATTCAGTGTAATCATTCATTTTAATAAAATAATTTTTTTAAAGAAACATGAAAAGGAGATATATTTTCTGATTCAGAACAATAATATGAGTAAAATGAGACCCCACTTGATATAATTATTACAAATATTTGTTCATTAAAACTGTCTGATTAACAACATGATTTAGTGTTGATTAATAGTAATGTGATCAGACTAAGTAGATAACATACTGTTGTGGTGTTGATCTTACATCCTGTATCAATGAGAAGTCTACAGACCTCCAGTCGTCCTCTCCTGGCGGCCAACATTAATGCTGTCTCTCCATCCTCCTGGAATAATACAACTGACATCAAAACTTGTCTGATAAACTGGACAATGTTGTGTAATAAATATAAACAAAATATATATCATATGAATCAGTGGTCAAAACTGAATAAAATGACCAGTCACACTTGTATTTATATTGTATATAAACAATAAATAAACATGTTTTGTTGTGAAATGTCAAAACTTCCATTAAACCTGATATCTTAAAAAAAAAAATTTTTCAAGAAATGTGTAAAATAATTATATCAATTGATTCAGTAGAACAAAACAAGCAAAATGAGACCCCACTTTATATGATTCTTACACATATTTATTCATTAAAACTGTCTAATTAACAACAGGATTTAGTGTAGATTCAGTGTAATCATTCATTTTAATAAAATAATTTTTTTAAAGAAACATGAAAAGGAGATATATTTTCTGATTCAGAACAATAATATGAGTAAAATGAGACCCCACTTGATATAATTATTACAAATATTTGTTCATTAAAACTGTCTGATTAACAACATGATTTTGTGTTGATTAATAGTAATGTGATCAGACTAAGTAGATAACATACATCTGTGTTGTCGATCTTACATCCTGTATCAATGAGAAGTCTACAGACCTCCAGTCGTCCTCTCCTGGCGGCCAACATTAATGCTGTCTCTCCATCCTCCTGGAATAATACAACTGACATCAAAACTTGTCTGATAAACTGGACAATGTTGTGTAATAAATATAAACAAAATATATATCATATGAATCAGTGGTCAAAACTGAATAAAATGACCAGTCACACTTGTATTTATATTGTATATAAACAATAAATAAACATGTTTTGTTTTGAAATGTCAAAACTTCCATTAAACCTGATATCTAAAAAAAAAATTTTTTTTCAAGAAATGTGTTAAATAATTATATCAATGGATTCAGTAGAACAAAACAAACAAAATGAGATCCCACTTTATATGATTCTTACACATATCTGTTCATTAAACCTGTCTAATTAACAACAGGATTTAGTGTAGATTCAGTATAATCATTCATTTTAATAAAATATTTTTTTTAAAGAAACATGAAAAGGAGTTATATTTTCTGATTCAGAACAATAATATGAGTAAAATGAGACCCCACTTGATATAATTATTACAAATATTTGTTCATTAAAACTGTCTGATTAACAACATGATTTAGTGTAGATTCAGTATAATCATGATAACAGGTATGTTTCACATTCAGTGTTGTACTTTGATAACAGGTATGTTTCACATTCAGTGTTATGTTTGATAATAGGTATGTTTCACATTCAGTGTTATGTTTGATAATAGGTATGTTTCACATTCAGTGTTGTGCTTTGATAATAGGTATGTTTCACATTCAGTGTTGTGTTTTATAATAGGTATGCTTCACATTCAGTGTTGTGTTTGATAATAGGTATGTTTCACATTCAGTGTTATGTTTGATAATAGGTATGTTTCACATTCAGTGTTGTGCTTTGATAATATGTATGTTTCACATTCAGTGATGTGCTTTGATAATATGTTTGTTTCACATTCAGTGATGTGCTTTGATAATATGTATGTTTCACATTCAGTGTTATGTTTGATAATAGGTATGTTTCACATTCAGTGTTATGTTTGATAACAGGTATGTTTCACATTCAGTGTTGTGTGTTTGATAATAGGTATGTTTCACATTCAGTGTTATGTTTCATAATAGGTATGTTTCACATTCAGTGTTATGTTTGATAATAGGTATGTTTCACATTCAGTGTTATGTTTGATAACAGGTATGTTTCACATTCAGTGATGTGCTTTGATAATAGGTATGTTTCACATTCAGTGATGTGCTTTGATAATAGGTATGTTTCACATTCAGTGATGTGTTTGATAATAGGTATGTTTCACATTCAGTGTTGTGTTTGATTACAGTGTTTCACATTCAGTGTTGTGTTTGATAATAGGTATGTTTCACATTCAGTGATGTGCTTTGATAATAGGTATGTTTCACATTCAGTGTTATGCTTGATAATAGGTATGTTTCACATTCAGTGTTATGTTTGATTACAGGTATGTTTCACATTTAGTGTTATGTTTGATAATAGGTATGTTTCACATTCAGTGATGTGCTTTGATAATAGGTATGTTTCACATTCAGTGTTGTGTTTGATAATAGGTATGTTTCACATTCAGTGTTGTGTTTTATAATAGGTATGTTTCACATTCAGTGATGTGCTTTGATAATATGTATGTTTCACATTCAGTGTTGTGTTTGGTCATAGGTATGTTTCACATTCAGTGATGTGCTTTGATAATAGGTATGTTTCACATTCAGTGTTGTGCTTTGATAATAGGTATGTTCCACATTCAGTGTTGTGCTTTGATAACAGATATGTTTCACATTCAGTATTGTGTTTTATAATATGTATGCTTCACATTCAGTGTTGTGTTTGATAATAGGTATGTTTCACATTCAGTGTTATGTTTGATAATAGGTATGTTTCATTTTCATTGTTGTGTTTGATAATATGTATGTTTCACATTCAGTGATGTGCTTTGATAATATGTTTGTTTCACATTCAGTGATGTGTTTGATAACATGCATGTTTCACATTCAGTGTTATGTTTGATAACAGGTATGTTTCACATTCAGTGTTGTGTTTGATAATAGGTATGTTTCACATTCAGTGTTATGTTTGATAATAGGTATGTTTCACATTCAGTGTTATGTTTGATAATAGATATGTTTCACATTCAGTGTTATGTTTGATAACAGGTATGTTTCACATTTAGTGTTATGTTTGATAATAGGTATGTTTCACATTCAGTGATGTGCTTTGATAATAGGTATGTTTCACATTCAGTGATGTGTTTGATAATAGGTATGTTTCACATTCAGTGTTGTGTTTGATTACAGTGTTTCACATTCAGTGTTGTGTTTGATAATAGGCATGTTTCACATTCAGTGATGTGCTTTGATAATAGGTATGTTTCACATTCAGTGTTATGTTTGATAATAGGTATGCTTCACATTCAGTGTTATGTTTGATAACAGGTATGTTTCACTTTTAGTGTTATGTTTGATAATAGGTATGTTTCACATTCAGTGATGTGCTTTGATAATAGGTATGTTTCACATTCAGTGTTGTGTTTGATAATAGGTATGTTTCACATTCAGTGTTGTGTTTTATAATAGGTATGTTTCACATAATTCAGTGATGTCCTTTGATAATATGTATGTTTCACATTCAGTGTTGTGTTTGGTAATAGGTATGTTTCACATTCAGTGATGTGCTTTGATAATAGGTATGTTTCACATTCAGTGTTGTGCTTTGATAATAGGTATGTTCCACATTCAGTGTTGTGCTTTGATAATAGATATGTTTCACATTCAGTATTGTGTTTGATAATAGGTATGTTTCACATTCAGTGTTGTGTTTGATAATAGGTATGTTTCACTTTCAGTGTTATGTTGAATAATAGGTATGTTTCATTTTCATTGTTGTGTTTGATAATAGGTATGTTTCACATGTTTTGAAGTGACTAACAGTTGTGTGTTTTATTCTGTTGATGTTCTTACTGTCATGTTTTGAAGTGACTAACAGTTGTGTGTTTTATTCTGTTTATGTTCTTACTGTCATGTTTTGAAGTGACTAACAGTTGTGTGTTTTATTCTGTTGATGTTCTTACTGTCATGTTATGAAGTGACTAACAGTTGTGTATTTTATTCTGTTGATGTTCTTACTGTCATGTTTTGAAGTGACTAACAGTTGTGTGTTTTATTCTGTTTATGTTCTTACTGTTATGTTTTGAAGTAACTAACAGTTATGTGTTTTATTCTGTCAATGTTCTTACTGAAATGTTTTGAAGTGACTAACAGTTGTATGTTTTAATCTGTTTATGTTCTTACTGTCATGTTTTGAAGTGACTAACAGTTGTGTGTTTTATTCTGTTTATGTTCTTACTGACATGTTTTGAAGTGACTAACAGTTGTGTGTTTTATTCTGTTTATGTTCTTACTGTCATGTTTTGAAGTGACTAACAGTTATGTGTTTTATTCCGTTTATGTTCTTACTGTTATGTTTTGAAGTGACTAACAGTTGTGTGTTTTATTCTGTTTATGTTCTTACTGACATGTTATGAAGTGACTAACAGTTGTGTGTTTTATTCTGTTTATGTTCTTACTGTTATGTTTTGAAGTGACTAACAGTTGTGTGTTTTATTCTGTTGATGTTCTTACTGTTATGTTTTGAAGTGACTAACAGTTGTGCGTTTTATTCCGTTTATGTTCTTACTGTTATGTTTTGAAGTGACTAACAGTTGTGTGTTTTATTCTGTTTATGTTCTTACTGTCATGTTTTGAAGTGACTTACAGTTGTGTATTTTATTCTGTTTATGTTCTTACTATTATGTTTTGAAGTGACTAACAGTTGTGTGTTTTATTCTGTTTATGTTCTTACTATTATGTTTTGAAGTGATTAACAGTTGTGTATTTTATTCTGTTTATGTTCTTACTGTCATGTTTTGAAGTGACTAACAGTTGTGTGTTTTATTCTGTTTATGTTCTTACTATTATGTTTTGAAGTGATTAACAGTTGTGTATTTTATTCTGTTTATGTTCTTACTGTCATGTTTTGAAGTGACTAACAGTTGTGTGTTTTATTCTGTTTATGTTCTTACTGTCATGTTTTGAAGTGATTAACAGTTGTGTATTTTATTCTGTTTATGTTCTTACTGTCATGTTTTGAAGTGACTAACAGTTGTGTGTTTTATTCTGTTTATGTTCTTACTGTCATGTTTTGAAGTGACTAACAGTTGTGTATTTTATTCTGTCTATGTTCTTACTGAGATGTTTTGAAGTGACTAACAGTTGTGTGTTTTATTCTGTTTATGTTCTTACTGTCATGTTTTGAAGTGACTAACAGTTGTGTGTTTTATTCTGTTTATGTTCTTACTGTCATGTTTTGAAGTGACTAACAGTTGTGTGTTTTATTCTGTTGATGTTCTTACTGTTATGTTTTGAAGTGACTAACAGTTGTGTGTCTTATTCTGTTTATGTTCTCACTGTTATGTTTTGAAGTGACTAACAGTTGTGTGTTTTATTCTGTTTATGTTCTTACTGTCATGTTTTGAAGTGACTAACAGTTATGTGTTTCATTCTGTGTATGTGCTCACTGTTATGTTTTGAAGTGACTAACAGTTGTGCGTTTTATTCTGTTTATGTTCTTACTGTCATGTTTTGAAGTGACTTACAGTTGTGTATTTTATTCTGTTGATGTTCTTACTGTCATGTTTTGAAGTGACTTAACATTTGTGTGTTTTATTCTGTTTATGTTCTTACTGTCATGTTTTGAAGTGACTAACAGTTGTGTGTTTTATTCTGTTTATGTTCTTACTGTTATGTTTTGAAGTGACTAACAGTTGTGTATTTTATTCTGTTTATGTTCTTACTGTCATGTTATGAAGTGACTAACAGTTGTGTATTTTATTCTGTTTATGTTCTTACTGAGATGTTTTGAAGTGACTAACAGTTGTGTGTTTTATTCTGTTTATGTTCTTACTGTCATGTTTTGAAGTGACTAACAGTTGTGTGTTTTATTCTGTCAATGTTCTTACTGTCATGTTTTGAAGTGACTTGCAGTTGTGATTTATACTGTATTAATCTGCTGTATTGTTAACCAGCAAGGTTAAAGTTATTTAAAGTGTTTTGTACTTTTTATGTTCAACTGACAGGTTTTGAAGTAACATGCAATTGTATTTCATTCTATTACAATTTGCTGTATTTTGAAGTAACATGTAGTTATGTGATTTATATTGCTCAAGTAAGATCTACTATGTTCTGAAGTTGTCTGTAGTTGTGTGGTTTTTTTTTACTGTACATAATTAATTTGCTCTAGTACTAATTTGGATGTTACTACTGTACCTAATGAGACTGTTTTACTTACATTTTGATAATCAATGTCTGCTTTATTCTCTAGGCTTAATTTTAAAGCACCTATATCTCCATTCCCAGCATCTGCAAGAAGTTTCTGTAAGTAAAACATAGATTTTACATTTAATAGATTGTAATGAAAAATAAATGAAACAACTGTTAAATAAACCAATAATTATTTATTATCCTGCATGACAAATAACTATATAAATCGGGGGTATCCTCACTTCAAATAACATTCAGGCAGAGAGGATATGTACCGATTATCAGGTTGCCTGCATATTGACATTGTTAAGAATCAGCTGTGATTCACAATATGAAGCTTTTTTCATGGGAGCACAGCGAATGAGTTCAGAGGCTTCATATTGTGTCGAGCAGCTAACATTTTACAATATAAATTAAATATCATCAAAATGATGGCAATCTGTAAATCGATTTATCCGATTGTATTTGTGTATTTTGCATTATAGAAACAAGTGTTTTCTTTGTTTCACCAGCAAACCGGAAAATGACTTGATACGTTCGGGTCAAACTTATCCTTTCCTTGAGATATTATGGTGTCTGGGAGACACAAATGATGCCCTCACAGATGCAAAGTGTTATTTTAACATACACAAAGTTGAGCATGGGAGCACATAGGTCTATGGTTCACTGTAGGAGGAGTTATCTGGAAACGCTATGCGCCTCTTAAATATGCAAATATATACTCCAAAAATGATAAAGTTCAACTATCTCCCAAAAGAGCAAATATTAATCAAAATCTAAACCCTGATGACATGCACACCTTCAATATATGTTCAAACAGCCAGCAAAGTTAAAACTTCCTAGCATTCAAACTGTAGGAGGAGTTATCTGGAACAACTATATACCCATAATGGGACGGAAGGACAGACAGGGGTAAAACAATATGCCCCCAACTTTCAGTTGATGGGGCATAAAAAAAACTTTTGGATAACAATTTGTTATAACAATGTGCATTGTGTCAATTTACACTTTATACCATAAAATAGATATGTTTTTTTTCAACTAATGAACTTAACAATTGCAAGAGGAGAGAACTTCTGTATTTTTTATTTATCAAAAATTGTCCAATATTTTCTCTAACAACTCAATAGGGTTATGTATTTGACATTGTAAACAAGCATTCTGAAGGTACTAGATATAGAATAAACCTTAAGAGAGTGTATACACTTATATTTAAAAAAACATTCGATACATTTCTGAAAATGAAAAAACCTAAAACACTAAACTGCCACTTAATTATGCATGATAATCAGCTCCAAGTTACTGACACCATGACCTCAGAGGATTTCTGGCAAGTTACTAATGATTTATAAAAAATAAATGGGGAATGTGTCTATGGGAAACAGATGATGCCCCCGCTTGCATATAACGTTATAAAGGGCCATAACTCAAGAACTGTAAAAGTGACACTATCCAAATTTGAACTTGATCTGAGTTTTGTGGTAATAAGAATTGTTTATAAGTTTCATAACATTTAGTTGACGTAAACTTAAATTAGAGAACAGAAACGAAAAATTCAGCAATTTTTCCATTTTCAAAGGGGCATAACTCTAGAACAGTAGAATTGACGCCACCAAAATTCAACCTTTATCTGTTTTTTGTGGTTATTAGCATTGTGCATAAGTTTCATAACATTTGGTTGAGGCAAACTAAAGTTAGAGAACAGAAACAAATATTTCAGCAATTTTGAGATTTGTAAAGGGGCATAACTCTAGAACGGTAAAAGTGACGACAACAAAATTCAAACTTGATCTGTGTATCATGGTAATTAGCATTGTGCATAACATTTGGTTGAGGCAAACTAAAGTTAGAGAACAAAAACTAATATTTCAGCAATTTTTCCATTGGAAAGGGGCATAACTCTAGAATGGTAAAAGTGATGCCACCAAAATTCAAACTTGATCTCTGTTTTGTGGTAATAAACATTGTGGATAAGTTTCATAACATTTGGTAGAGGCAAACTAAAGTTAGAGAACGGAAACGAAAAATTCAGCAATTTTTCCATTTGTAAAGGGGCATAACTCTCGAACGGTAAAAGTGATGCCACCAAAATTCATACTCGATCTGTGTTTTGGGGTAATAAGCATTGTGAATAAGTTTCATATCATTTGGTTGAGGCAAACTAAAGTTAGAAAACAGTAACCAATTTTGGGACGTACGGACGGACGAACAAGGGTAAAACTTAATGCCCCCTCCGCTATGGCGGGGGCATAAAAATAAAACAGGCAAGAAATTTCATGCAGTTTATGGCTATCTTTGCTATGAGTTGTTATTAGCAACACCTTAGTCAAATGTTTGTAGTACATTTTTCTTTGTCCCAATCTTTGTTGTGTTTGTTTTATCTTTGATCTTGTAATATCTTTTTTGTAGGTCACGTAGAATTCTACTAGTTTGTATCTCAAATCGTCACATACATGTATTTTTGGTAAGAAAATGGAAATAAAAGTTCACATGACAATTGGACTTAAAAGTAAATCTTACCTCATTCCAATTTTCCATTATATCCTAAAAATAGAAAAAAAAAATATTTCAAATATATACTGTTGTAGTTATCATTGAGTTATAATTGTTAATGCCAATTGAAAATACATGATCATTATGGACTTGAAAATTACTGACCTAATATTTTCAGATATTAATCTAATCCAAAAACATGTAAATCTAGCATCTAAAAGACTATCTCAACTTTTCTGCACTATTTGAAATTTGTGTCGCTCACCTGGTGAAAATATCGCTAGTTTGCTCACTACGATTTTTATATGCACATACTAGCTATTCTTTGTGTTGCTGATAATTTTTTGCAATTTACATATTTAACCTAGGTCCTATAGGTTTTTAGATAACAGCAGGGGTTAAAAAAAATTGTTACAGGTAACTAGCCCAGGACTTATTTGCAGCAGGATTTTACTAGCCCTGTTGGAAGAACTGCTAGCCCATCAAAACTGACCTGCTAGCCCGAGAATGCTTTACAAATCAGTTTGCTGCATAATTACAAAGTGGGTGTCCCTTGTTTTGAAGGCAGCATTATACACTGTATTTAATAATTTTTGTTGACCTGCTTTTTATTCTGTTGGTCCCACATACAGAGCAGACTTTTTATTGGCGTGCTCGGGAAAATATTCTCTGGGTGTTTTTTCATCAGCAACACGGCCTACCTTGCCCAGTGGGAATCTTTCTTTCCGGGACACTATTCCGCTTTTCCCGGTCGTATTTGGCATTTTTTGGGGATGAATTGTCAGTCTCATTACCCCTTTCATCTACAGTTTTTCGTTTTAAAACTGACGAAGTTCCTGGGGTGCCCGTACTTAAATATTTAGAAATATTTGGTTGCATGGATTGGTTTCGTTCTCAACAGCTGTCCGACAAGACATGTTAATACGGATCAATACATCACCCAGTACCGTTAATTGAACATCTTGGCATAAGAAATCTACAATACCCTGTACTGTTGTACTGAGAAATCGATATTTAAAGTACGAAAATTGCGATCAATACATGATACCAGGCCACCCAGAGTTATTTGTTCTAGTTTTAAAATATGTACAACAGGACCTGTACAAACCAGTTCAAATTCTTGGAATCCCGGATGACGTAATTGAATCTGATTGGCTAAGATAGAATAGTGATGAAGGGATTTTCCACTTTCTATTTTGGAAACGCCAAGAATTTTTTGTTACCAGTCCGTCGGGCATATTGGGTTAAAAATTTTGATTGCCCGAGGCGTAAATGCTCAAGTCCCGGGCGTCGGGCTAGTGGATTTTTTAACCCCTGAATAGCCAAAACTACAAACATGAGTACACGCGCTGAAATGTCTCGCCTTCTTTACTGACCATTTATGTTGATATTCCTTAATATAAAGTTTTACTACAAGTATCACATGAACTTAATATGATCAAAGAAATGAGGTCAAGGTTAGATAAACCAAGCCAGAAATACATGTACATCTTACAGTCATTCCATACACCAAATATAGTTGACCTTTTGCTAGTAGTATACAAGACAGACCAAATCATTAAAATTTTATATTGACAAATGAACCATGAAAAAAGGGTAAAGGACAGATGAACCCTGTCAGACAGACATATACACCTTACAATCATTCCATGGATCAAATATAGCTGACCTATTGCATATAGTATTTAAGGAAAAAACTAAACCAGGAAAACATCATAATGACCAATGAACCATGAAAAAGATGTCAAGTTGAGATGATACCTGCAAGAAAGGTTTTCCTGTTCGAATTGTTTTGCACTGGTCATTTTTGGGTCTTTATAGCTTGCTGTTCAGTGTGAGCCAAGGCTCCGTGTTGAAGGCCGTACTTTGACCTATAATGGTTTACTTTTTACACATTGTGCCTGGGATGGAGAGTTGTCTCATTTGCACTCATATCACATCTTCTTATATCTATATAGTATATATACACTTTAAAATCATTCCATACACCAAATATAGTTGACCCATTGCTTATAGTTTAAGAAAAACGACCAAAACAAAAAACTTAACATTAAGAAATGAGCCATGAAAATGAGGTCAAGGTCAAATAAAACCTGCCAGACTAACTTGTACATAATAAAATATTTCCATACATCATATATAGTTGACCTATTGCATACAGTACTACAAAAACAGACCAAAACAAAACAACTTAACTATATCCACTGAACCATGAAAATGAGGTCAAAGTCAGATGACACCTGGCAGTTGGACATGTACCAAAACAAAAAACTTAACATTAAGAAATGAGCCATGAAAATGAGGTCAAGGTCAAATAAAACCTGCCAGACTAACTTGTACATAATAAAATATTTCCATACATCATATATAGTTGACCTATTGCATACAGTACTACAAAAACAGACCAAAACAAAACAACTTAACTATATCCACTGAACCATGAAAATGAGGTCAAAGTCAGATGACACCTGGCAGTTGGACATGTACAACTTACAATCATTCCATACACCAAATATAGTAGACCTATTGCTTATATGCTTATTTCTGAGATATGGACTTGACCAAGAAAACTTGTTCACTGATCTGTGAAATGAGGTCAAGGTCAAGTGAAAACTATCTGACAGGCATGATGACCTTGCAAGGCACGCACATACCAAATATAGTTATCCTATTACTCATAATAAAAGAGAAATTAACAATACAAAAAAACTTTGAATTTTTTTTCAAGTAGTCACTGAACCATGAAAATGAGGTCAAGGAAAATGGACATATCATATCATATGACAGACGGAAACTTCATAACATAAAACATCTATATACAGAGTATGAAACATCCAAGTATTCTAGCTTCTGAAATATTTAGCTATTTAGTAGTTAGTTAGCGCCGCCATCGCCACTGGATCACTATCCCTGTCGAGCTTTCTGCGAGAGAAGTCGCAGGCAGGAACAAAAACCTGTAAAAATCAATATTTCAGGGGTAATAACTCCAAAACTTGTAGTTAAAACAAGAGTGAACACGCTGAAATGTCTCGCCTTCTTTACTAATCATTGATATTATGTTGATAGTCCTAAATATAAAGCTTTATTACAACTGTCACATAAACTTAACATTAACCAAGTAAACTAAACATTGACCAATGAACCATGAAAATGAGGTCAAGGTCGGATGAACCATGCTAGGCAGGCATGTACAGCTAACAATTCTTCCATACAACAAATATGGTTGACCTATTGCTTATAGTTTAAGAAAAACAGACCAAAACACAAAAACTTAACACTGAGCAATGAACCTTGAAAATGAGGTCAAGGTCAAATAAAACCTGCGTGACTGACATATAGATCATAAAATATTTCCATACACCAAATGTAGTTGAACTATTGCATATAGTATTAGAAAAAAAGATCAAATCTCAAAAACTTAACTTTGACCACTGAACCATGAAAATGAGGTCAAGGTCAGATGACACCTGCCAGCTAGACATGTACACCTTACAATCGTTCCATACACCAAATATAGTAGACCTATTGTATGCAGTATTAGAAAAAAAGACCAAAACTCAAAAACTTAACTTTGACCCTGAACCATGAAAATGAGGTCAAGGTCAGATGACACCTGCCAGCTAGACATGTACACCTTACAGTCATTCCATACACCAAATAGTGTAGACCTATTGCATACAGTATAAGAAAAACAGACCAAAACACAAAAATTTAACTATAACCACTGAACCATGAAAATGAGGTCAAGGTCAGATGACACCTGCCAGCTAGACATGTACACCTTACAATCATTCCATACACCAAATATTGTAGACCTATTGCATACAGTATAAGAAAAACAGACCAAAACACAAAAACTCAACTATAACCACTGAACCATGAAAATGAGGTCAAGGTCAGATGACACCTGCCAGTTGGACATGTACACCTTACAGTCCTTCCATACACCGAATATACTAGACCTATTGCTTATAGTATCTGAGATATGGACTTGACCACCAAAACTTAACCTTGTTCACTGATCCATGAAATGAAGTCGAGGTCAAGTGAAAACTGTCTGACGGGCATGAGGACCTTGCAAGGTACGCACATACCAAATATAGTTATCCTATTACTTATAATAAGAGAGAATTTAACATTACAAAAAATCTTAACTTTTTTTTCAAGTAGTCACTGAACCATGAAAATGAGGTCAAGGACATTGGACATGTGACTGACGGAAACCTCGTAACATGAGGCATCCATATACAAAGTATGAAGCATCCAGGTCTTCCACCCTCCAAAATATAAAGCTTTTAAGAAGTGAGCTAACGCCGCCGCCGCCGGATCACTATCCCTATGTCGAGCTTTCTGCGACAAAAGTCGCAGGCTCGACAAAAAACTGAGTAAAAAGATCTTGTCATGCTGATCGTAATTGTAGTTTACACTTTTAACCTCTAGCTCCTATAGTTTTCCAAATAACAGGCAAAAATGAAAACTAGAGGCTCTAAAGAGCCTGTGTTGCTCACCTTGGTCTATGTGCATATTAAACAAAGGACACAGATGGATTCATGACAAAATTGTGTTTTGGTGATGGTGATGTGTTTAGGTGATGGTGATGTGTTTGTAGATCTTACTTTACTGAACATTCTTGCTCCTTACTATTATCTCTATCTATAATGAACTTGGCCCGGTAGATACAGTGGAAAATACTTTGTAAAAATTTACAAAAATTTACAAAATTAATGAAAATTGTAAAAAAATGACTATAAAGAGCAATAACTCCTTAAGGGGTCAATTGACAATTTTGGTCATGTTGCCTTATTTGTAGATCTAACTTTGCTGTACATTATTGCTGTTTACAGTTTATCTCTATCTATAATAATATTCAAGATAATAACCAAAAGCTGCAAAATTTTCTTAAAATTACCAATTCAGGGGCAGCAACCCAACAATGTGTTGCCTGATTGGTCTGAAAATTTCAGGGCAGATAGATCTTGACCTAATGAACAATTTTACCCCCATGTCAGATTTGCTCTAAATGTTATGGTTTCAGAGATATGAGCCAAAAA